CACCCTACTTTCTTGCACTTTTTCATAACTTTATATTGTGTCGCTTTACTCACCACCTCTTCCAATTCCTCCCACCCCTCCTCTACCCCTTTACCATTCCATTCTACCCTCTCTAATCTTTTCCTATACTCGTTTTCCCCCTCTTCTGACCAGTCCTGATATTTTATTTCCGACTCTTCTGCCTTTGTCCCCCCCTCTGTCTCTCTTACTTCCCCTATTCTCACCATCACCGGTTGATGATCTGATTCTATTCTCACACCCACCTCAAATCTGTCCACTTTCTCCCACGCTGCCCAATTTACTACCCCTAAGTCTATCACTGAGTTTGCCACTCTTTGACCCTTCCCTTCGAATGTCCACTCTCCTTCCTCATCTCCTTCCTTATTTCCGTTCAATATTATCCACCCTCTATCCTCTATCAATTCTAGAAGCTGTTTACCTTCCTTATTCACCACCTTATCCTTTGACTTTCTTTCCTCCTCCATCCCTACCTCACTTATTCTACCCCCACCCCCCCTCTCTCCTATTCTAGCATTGAAATCTCCCCCTATGAGTAGATTTTTCTCCTCCTCCCCTTTCACTCCTTCATCCAGGTCTAATAATACCTGGCCCCCGTTTAATCTATTATATAACGTCACAATTCTCCAAATCTCATTCCCATGTACTACTTCCCTTTCTTGGATTCCTTCTTCCTCTATTCTATCTGTAGCTATTTCTTTGACTTCCACCTTCACCCCCGTAATAATCCCCCCCATCGCTCTACCTTTTCTACTTTCTCTTCTGGCTGCTTGGTGTTTCCACCTCCAGCCCCCTGGCAATCTATTGCTAAATTTCTTCCATCTTTTCTCTTCTAACCATGTTTCTGTCAAATTTACAATATCAAAAAAATTCCTGTATAAATTCCCAAAAATCCTCGTCTTTATTTTCTATTCCTGCTACGTTCCAAAATATAACTTTCATACCCCCCCTTATTTCCTTTACTATTGCAGTTAATATTCTTATTTTTTCCCCCTTATTATCCTTTAATTCTACGTCATCCCTCTGCTTTTTACCCTTATGTACTATGCTTCCATCCCCATTGTTCGAGGGCTCCCCGCCTTTCTTATCTATACCTCCCCTCCTTTCCCTTTTACCCTCCCTCCTTCCTATTCTTCCCCTCTTTCTACCTTCTTTCCCATCTCTTTCTCTTTCTCTCTCATCCAAACGACATTCATTCACATTTATTCTCACGCCTTCACTCTCTTCCTCTCCCCTTAACCTTCTCCTTTTCCCTGCACTCTCATCCCTTCCTTTCACACTCTCCCACCCCTCCCTACGATCATTCCCCCCTTCTCTTTCACTCTTACTGCTATCACTCTTATCTATTACTCTATCTCTACATATCTCTTCCTTCTTCTCCGTTCTACCATCCTCCACCGTCTCTCTCTCCAGCCGTCGATCTCTCCCTTGTTCTCCATCTTCACCTTCATTCATCTCTTCGGCTTGTTCTCCGTTTATTCTACCCTCGCCGCTCTCGCAAAATCCCTTTCGATTTCCATTCTGTCCCTCTCATAGTTCCATACATACTTTATTTCTCCTATGTATGCTTTTGCGTATCCGATCTTTACCATCCTTTCTTTTTTCTTCTCTTAATATGCCCATTCTCTTACCCTTTTCTGTATCCCCCTCTCTTTTCTTGTCATATCTTCATCCACATATATTTTCTTCCCTCTTA